AAGGTGGGGGCGGGGGGACAAAACAAAAAGAAGCATTTGGCGCTGGCTACCACAATAGCTGGTGATTTTGACTGGGGTGTGCTGAGGCTCTAGCTGGGACCTAGAAAACCCAGACATTATGGGCTGGAGAGTCTTATTCCTTGACTCCAGGTTAGACTGATCATCATTTACTGGCATCAGGAAAGAATTTACTGCAAAGTCAGATTGGCACAGACTCAGAAGGGCCAGCATTTACCCCAGAGTTTGAAAAGCTGTTCTGGCAACAGACAAGCAAGACTTCTTGGTAAATTGTTTAAGTGATTCCAATTCCTCTTGAAAGCATTCAGAGGAGTTGGAAACATTTAGATACATATTGCAGGAACAGACTGAAGAGCTGAGAGGGTCCAAATTAGAGACCAATCAACTTTGCTTTGGGCGTGTTAGGCAGAGAAAGTCTCTAAAAGTTCTGCATTTAAAGCACTGCACATTCAACCATGTTGGGGAGCTGCAAGATTAAATCAGGTTTTAACATGAGCATAAGTAAGGCAGTATAAAAAAAACCCAGTCACATTGGTATCATGTGGAAGGAAACTGCTCGAGTATTCATGGTGGGCAAAATTCTGTTCTACTATACTTGAAGCAAAATATTATTTAGATGAAATCCACTTATTAAAAAATTGTTGGTGGAGACCATAGTGTTGCCTCTTTAAACTGAATAGAAAGCCAATCATCTGATGAAATCTTCAAGAATAAGAACCTTTCCTACAACTGACAACTACTGCTAGCTTTCGGATTCGTTTTGGTCTACGAAGAAACAAGCAAAGAATTGCAGAGCACACCTTAGCCAAGAGAGCTTGATATCTCCCGCTTGGATTATACAAATTTGCAGGACTAGACACCACAGACCCAGATCCACATGCTAAGGAATATGGTATTCAATAAGGTGATTTCCAAGCTCTTACCTTTCTCTTTTCATCGTCTGGATATGTCCAATAGGAAATACAGTTTCCAGAAAGCACACACCAGCGTCGATGCCAAGCCCCAAATCCACTCACATCTTCAAACATAGTCTACGAAGAAAAAGAATAAATTTACTTCATGCAACATTGGTTACTTTGGTTTACATTATATTTAAGGGTAGTTTTCAACTAGCACAATATCTGTGTGCGCACAATCACACACACGTGCACTCATACAGTGAAAAGGGTATCTTAATAACATTCAGCTTACCCCCCTTTCCTTTCACATGGAAATTAATGACATTTAATTAGAATCAATCCAGAAATAATGTTCATCTTAGCTATTACCACTATTTCAAGGGCCATAAAAGAAAATGTTTTAATAATAAAATACTATCTGCCATAACACGACATTTCATTGCCAAGTGTGTCAAGTGTTACTTGTAACAAATACCAGGTGACCAGGTTCAGAAAACAACTGCTTAAATACCAATATAGAACTTAGTTTTAAAAAATTCGATCAGCCAACCCTTGTTAAGCGAATTACATTTCAAAATAAAATAGTTGACCAAGTTGCAATTAGTCTAGTGAGGGGTCTCACAACTTGGAAAAGGACTTTTCATTTGGGGAGGCAGTTTATTCCATACATTTCAAGATAAGGCAAATATTTCCCCAACCAACTTCATTAGTGGGTACAGACAGAGTTTATTCTGTAGCCTGTAACTCTATTTCTTCTGCATTTATTTATATAGCATATTGCCTTAGCAAAATAGCAGTTTTCTTGTATAAAGTTATTCAGCTTTTTCTTGTATCCATTCAGAAAGCAATGCATTCCAATAGTTTAGGAAATGGGATTCAACACCACTCCAGAACAGTGATTCTCAATTAGGGTGCCATGGGACCCTGGGGTGCCTTGAGACCTTCTCAAAGGTGATGCAGGGTGCCCCATAAAGTTAATTTAACACTATTAGATTTACAACACAATTCACAAGATGAGTCCAGAGATTCCAAAGAGAAATCCAGTTATGGTCTCTGAGTTCTTTGCAACAGAAAAACTGCTCTATTTCTTTTGTCTACAAAAATGAGCGCAAGCTAAGAGCTAGCATTTTCCAAGGGATGCTTTGAGTCTAAAAATGCTGAGACTCACTGCTCTAAAAACCTATAACAGCCACCCAGTAAATATTAGCATACTGCAACAGTAGAGGTAACACCACAAAAGAGAAGTTTAATATGGACCCATACAAGGGTGTTAAGAAAATATACATGTATTAAGCATACATTGATTTGCCAAAATAAGGTAGATTTCACTAGGATAGATAAGTCTGATTCTGTCTAAATAAAAAGGACAAATCACAAAAGCCAATGAAAAACAAAAAGTTTGAGAAATTTTTGGAGCAGGAAACAACTCAAGTGTCAAAGATGCACTTGTTTTTCAAAGGCCTTTTTACAGCACATTTAGTGCCATCTACTGGATATAAGTATAGCAGTACAGGTCACTGGAATGGAAATGTCACTATTTATCTAACGCCAGATTTATTAAAGTTCTAGTTTTAGAAATTTAGATTTTTAAAGTTATCAAAATTGAAAGCTATACAAGTTTAACTTTGTCTACTGAACCAAAGCCAGGCGAAGAGGACAAGTGGTTTAATGGAGTTTTGCTTGTTCACAAAACTGGGGGAATCTTTTATTAAAGCATTTACTTTAAAATGGGTCACAAGTCTAAATTGCTTTTTAAAAAGTCTCTGGTGGCTAATTTAAAATTTCACGCCACATAGTTGTACACTAGCTGGACAAGCCAGTTCAAAAGGAGCTTAGAGAGAAGATCATGACAGCAATAAGTCAAGAGTTTGCCAGAAAACAGAGAGAGACCCCAAGAGATATTTTACTGAAGGGTAATAATTAGGGGTACACCAACAAAGACTTTGAGCTGATACCAATGGCTGATTATTAACGAGCCACATCAGCCGATACCTATCCAGTTGCTGATATGCAGTCCAGAAGCTTGGAGAGCAGTGCCTGGCTGGAAAGTCTTCTGGAGGGAGGGGACATGGGTGGGGGCAGATCAAGGCCCACACGGTGAGGGAGGGAATGGGGTAGGGGCAGGTGCTGCCCAGCCAGGGCAGGGGACAGAGCTGTGAGCAGCTCACCCGGGAGGTGCACGGGAGAGGGCAGTTCCTGTTGCTGCGCACACCCTGGAGGAGGCATGGAGGGCATGTGCCTCCTGGATCTGCATGTGGGGTGAGGGAGGGCTGCCACTGTGGGCTGGGTTTTTCCCGTTAGGAGGGGTAGGAGGGAAGGCCAGGGCTGTACTCTGGGCAGGTGGCAGTGGCGCTCATGGGGGGGCGGGATATGGCAAATTCTGGGGTGGCTGTAGCACCCCCTCCCAGAGCTGCCGCCACCAACCCCGACTGCAGCCCCAGCTGAACCCCGCACTGGGGACAGCCTGCAGCAGCAACTTGCCCTCGCCCCATGCACAGATCTGGGGGATATGTACCTCTCATGCCTCCCCTGGAGGTATGCGGAGTGGCAGGAGCTGCACCCTGCCCTCCTCATAAGCCACACGTGGCTCCATCCCACACCCTGCCCAGGCAACGCCTGCCCCAGCCCCACTACCTCCCTCACTGTGGGGGCCTCAATCTGCCCCTGCCGCACCACTCCTCCACCCTCTCCTCCCCCAAAACAGACTTACCAGCTGAACACTGCTCTCCAAGGTCTGGGCTGGCTGCATGCGTGATGCAGCTGTGCACATGCACACAGCATTCATCAGTGACATTATTGGCCGCACCAGCCAAAAAAAGCCAATTGCTGATTATGTTAATTTTCCTTTTATTGGTGCCAATGCAATATGGACCAATGTATCATTGCACTTCTAGTAATAATGATAACATTTCAGCAAATTTAGCCAAATGGCAACTTAATAGCATCAGACACTTTTTTTGGCCAAAGCAGCAAATATCTTAAACCAAGGTTACAACGCCTTATCACTAAAGTAAATGGGAGAGAGGAAAAAGTTGGGATGACTCCATTTAACCAACATGAAATCATTTGGTTAGTGCTGAGAAAAGAAAAGCACCTGTTTTACCACTTGGGAAAGTGACTTAAAATAGCAAGCAAGTTAAACTTACCAAAAATCCTTTTTCTTCTACAGAAGAATCTAGTTTACAGTTTAGCTTTAAATATATATGTCCTTCCAAAGGAGACAGAAAGGGAACCTACAAAAAAAGTAAATAAATTAGCTACTGAAATATGATGTAACCTCAACAGCAACTCTGTTCCCATGAAAAGTAAGTCTTTTGCAGCAAAGATATAAGTAATAAATTATTTTGGTGATTTCTAGCGAGAAGAGCCCTATGTATGGGAGAGTCAAAAACCACTTGCTATCAAGATTGTCACTAGAAGTCACTTAACATGGAGAACTGGAAATACATTTTGGTTTTTACAAAATATAATTAACGTTATAGGTATGGTGAAAAAAATCCAGATCTATCCTATTACAATATATGCAAGGTCAATCCAAAGTGGGGCAAGTGTCTAAAGTAAGACTTAAGCACCAAGATTCTACTTTAAGTCCACAAATGCAATCATCAAATCCTTGTTCAGCTGCCACCTAACTCTGAAACTGTCCTACTGGCACTGAATCCTGCACCAAACCCTCAAACTCCTGCCTCTGTACCAATGTAGAAATGACTAAGTCTTGACAGGGTACAACAGCTTGGCATCTAGGCCTTTACCCATACCCAATCCCACCCCCAAGGGATTTGATCCAGGAGATACTTAGAGTCTACCCACCAATTGGCCTCTGCACAAAATATGGCCTCAACACTTTGTTTAAAAGAAGAGATGCTCGAACTGTTGAACTATTATGTAAAAAAGTGAGACACTTCCAGCATCACCTCTTTCCACTGTTTTAAAAAACAAACAAAGCAACTCTTTTTCCATTTTGAAAAAAATGGGCATCAAGTGCCAAACTCCAGGAGAGATTGCCAAGATAAGAAATCTGAGTGAAGGATAATATCTCCTAGTAGCACCTATAGTCCAGAGAGGGGTGGAATTTCAGCTCCTCCCAGTATTCATTATTCCAACTGATAGCTCTAGGCAGCTCCCAGGTAAACATGCTGGCTGTGTTAGGTCTTCCTCTGTGACAACTCTCCTAGTGCACTGTCAAGGTCAAGCTTGTCCAACATACGGCCCATGGGCTGTCTTGCGGCCCTCCAAACCGTTTGCTGAGGCCTAGGTGCTGTGACGGGAAACGAAAGTAAACTCTGTAGTTTCATCTGGGGGGAGGGGGCAATGTGATACTGCTTCCTGTGAGGTCTTTGAATATGGCTCGCCGGTCCGCTGAGTGATAAAAAGTTCATGATCCGGCCCCACATTCAAAAAGGTTGGGCACCCCTGGTCTAGGTGTTTCACTCAGGGTCATAAATTCTGCTGCAGGAGCCATGCACTTTAACATTAGAAGTTACAATGTTGAATGTTACAACGCTTAGGTCCTGTTGTGGATTTGAGCCTT